AATAAAAAATTACAACAGAAATAAATCGAGTAAATCAAACTTTAAAAATTAGGTTCCGATTTTGGTTAGGTTTTTTTTTAGCATTTGAAAAAAATGGTTTCGGTTGAGGTTCCGGTTTACAATTAACACAAGGTTCCCGGTTCTATAACCGGTTATTTTTGGTCCGGTTACAGTCCTTGGTTTGGAGAGACCTATTCACTCTAATCAAATGGGATATAAACGGCCACATGATAAAGTTTCTGGTACTTAAATATTTTAACCAATCGTTCTTTCAAAGTAAAAGTTCAAAACACAAAATTAAATTTACATTACATCGAAAATATGCTTCAAAACAAGGCTCAGCCCTTAGCCATAATTATATGGTAACTTTTATGGTAATAAGCAGAAAAAATTGTAATAGTTCACCGTAAAAACACGAAAATACCTAATTAAGAATAACACTGATACCATGTATTGTAATATTATATAACAACACTACCAATACCTAAATCCGTGTTTTATAATATATTATTTTTATTTATAGTTAAAAAATGTAATACCTACAATTTTTGTAAGGTTTACAACTATATATTTTTGGCCTCATATGGCCCTATCTAGTAATATATCTTTACACCTATAACTGAATGCTATCAAAGTAAAATAATTTTTTGTTATTACTGACACTCATTATTACAAACTTCATGGTTAGTAAATTAGAAATTTCATGATTTACCAACATAATATCTCGAATAATTATCGTAGATTTTGATTTAACTACACTGTCAGGTAACTGATTAAATTTAAAATGAAATCATGTTTGAATTACTTATAAATAATTTATATACATATAATATAACTTAAAAGTTATTTTTATTTTTATTATAATTTATTCATACCTCGGATTACGATCCACGTACTTTTGGCGAATGAAAAATCCAAATCATAAATTAGGTTTTTTTTTTAAAAAATAATTATATTTATTGAGTTTTTAATTTTTCTTGCGTCTGATGCGTGTCTTAAAGTGGGCAAATAAAGTATTTGAACCATAAATGTATAAATACCATTATTTAAACTTAATTGATAAATTTTCTTTACGCTATTAAGATTTATATAACTTACAGGTGTAGCTTCTGCTTTTAGTCTTTATCTAAAAAAATGTAATTTCTTTAAAAATATACCTGTCTTACAACTCGTTTATATTAAATATTATAAATATTATTATAACAATATAATTTTATATTAGAAGCTCAGTAATCAGAATTTTAGATGTTTGATAAAATTAAATAGCGATTAAAGGCAGCCATGATGTATACGACGGACTTATTTGAGGTAATCGCAGTACACAAAAATATAACGCAATTGGTGTTTATTATTCGTTATATTTTTCTGGAGGTCCAACATGGTGTAGGATCGAATGCCATAGAGACTAAATTTCTTATTATTGCCACATGAAACAACGAGCAGGCATTGGCTCTTTGGAACAAATTTGTAGTTTTATTAAAATAAAATATGAGAACCACAAAATAACCACGATCAAAAATTATTGTGTAGCTCAGCATTTCTCAACGTTTGTATTATGATGATACGTCGTTAAAATATTTTTTGTCACATTGAGAGCGATTTTTACGTTATTGTGTAACAATTTTACATTTTATCAATTTTAACTATAGTTAGTATATTATTCATATGTACTGTCCCTATTGAGTGTATGTCGCGTGTAGTATATAGCGCTACATGCGCGATAATCGGTAAAAGAATAAAATAGTTTGATATTCTGCGATTAATCGCTGTTAAAATATCTTCCCCGTTGGTTCTACCCGAACAAATAACTACCACAGTTTTCCTATAGGAATCTATTTGAAATCCTAGACACTCGGACCACAGAAATAGACCAAAAGATCCAAAAATGTTAGGTAAACGTAGGAAAAGATCTTAACTTGAATGGTAATTTAAATAATGAATGTTATATATATATATATAACATCTTTACTAAGGTAATATTATAAATAAAATAAAATATTTATTCAAAAATTAAAGCACCACTTCCAGCCATCAAAATTTTTCGGGATATAATTTTGGTTGCCGATCGAATGAGTAAATAAAAATGGAATGAACATGTACTAGGTAAAGTCGCAGAAATGGATGTAAAATCGCTAGTGGACATCGCCCTTGTAAAATCGTAGAAACGCTCGAAACGCAGAAACGCAGAATCGCTCTGAGTTGGACAGTATCTTTACTTTGTCGCACACCATAAAACAGTTAAGTAAAGATCAAACAAAAATCTTATAGGTACAATATATTAATATGCATTAATGCATTAATATTTTATTTTAACGAGAAATAATTAAATCGGTATTTTAAATTAATATGTGTTAAACAACATGTTTTAATATGCTTCATTATAATAGTTATAAATATACGTTCAGTATCATTTAATATAACCTCACGATACACTTGGTCTTATCCCGCGGCACATCAGTGTGTCGCGACACAGTGGTTGAGAAACATAGTATATACTACATTGTAGTTACTGGGTTTCAATATACAAAAATCTCATTTTATTTTCCAATAGTGGCAGCTCGTGAAGTTCACATAAGGTGATGCACAAATAATTTGTAAGATATGTAGGTGGGTAAAAAAAATATTAATTTTAACATAGGTATAGGTACATAAACGTACTTCTATATATATATATATATAATTGCTGTTCGTTAGTTACACGAATAATAATATACGTCAACGTCGGTAGTAAACAGAAACACGATTGTTGTATTGAATTTAAGATAATGACTAACATTATCAGCCGATAATCGGAGTACAATAAACAAATGAGAGTAAAAATAAATCATAATGCCGATGCCAACGCGCAACGGCGCGGTGACACAAAAAATAATTCGCTGAAAACAATTTAATTGATTATGTGCACAGAAACGAATATGCTCATCAATTCCATTATAACGCGTGTTGCGTGTTTCGACTTGTTTTAATTTATACATTGTACAAACGTGGACAGCAATAGCGTGCACTACTGCACCACTATGACACACACTGATACCGTTTCGTCGCGGACAAACGCCTGCCCGTTTGGCCTTCGGAAACCTCAACTAAATATTATATTATTTTCGTAATATTCTGAATTTATATTTTTATATTTTTAAAAATAATCTTAATAACACTACAGGTATATTTAGTTGTATTATTATGGTTTATGTTTTCAATTGTTTTTGAGTTTGGGTAAGTAGTGCACATATACACGAGCCGCCACTGTTTTCCAACTAATTTTTTTACCTATTTAATTTTAAACATAATCACGGAAATAATGATCAAAATAAAAATATTTTTTAATGTATTCATAAGTAATAATAAATAAATAAATTACAAAATAAATATTTTAAATTTATTGTATACATTATACAATTTTAAACGTACACCAGTAAAATATTTAATATTTTGTTTTTTTATAAAAAACAACATTCATTTTACAATAATACTATTTTTAATGTTTGGACATGTGCACATCGTTTGTGTATACGTGTCCTCGTGTACGCGCTGGCCACGACGTACATCCGCCTTTCTGTTTGATCATTGAAAATGTTTGTTTTTCTCTTTCCAGTTAAACGTCGTTACTAAAAAGCATGGCAGAACACTTCACGGAGGCGTTTAATGTTCGCGTCAAGGATGAGAAAAACGACCTAGAGTGGTGTTAAACCATGGGTTTCTATCTATTTTATTCGAGATTGCGCATGGATGACAATGGTGACGGGGTAGGAGATCTCAAGCGTTTGGTTGTGTAACAAAAATATACAGAGCTTTAGTCTTCCCCTCTTTTTGTGACGGTATTGAAGTTATATAACTGTACTTGTACTGACACGTAATAAAATGTGAATTATACTTAGAATCAATGGTATAATGTATGAGTATTACGTATTACAATATGCAGTGGCACCGATACCAAACAATTCTGGTAGGGCGTGTACTTATAAAACGAGATGAGATCTGACTACGATTGGATTTTGAGCCTAATAATAACTGCAGCACATGAAAAATATGATAAGATAAATAAGACGCGAGGATCAATCTACCGACCAGTGTGTACTGTTGATTACCAACCGTGTTTGTTAATAACTTACAATAACTAATGAGTCATTAGTAATGACTCGCTTACTGAAACACTGGAGACTGAGCCAACTCACCTACCACTGAAATATTATCAGATAGGCCATCTGCCCTACCTGAATATAGGGTCTGGCATTGTTAAATAGTACATATAATTTATTGTTCTATTTGTGGCCCTTTGCTTATCTTCTATTAGTTGAGATTATACATGATTATTGAATAAATTATTTTTTAATTTTCAAGTTAAAATCTTTATAGGGCTTAGCAATAAATATAATTTGAACTTATAGTCAATCATTACACATGATAAGTTCGATAATCGTTTTTTTATATTATTTTAATGTATATAACATTTTTAAATGTATCCGCTCTTTATCTAGACGAGTTAAGATTGTCAGGTACCTATTTATTTTGTTTTAGATTTTCGGTACAATATCTTAACCGGGATTAAAAAAAATACTAATCCGAGCTAAGTGCCAATAACCATGGAACTGTGCCGGCGAGGACGTTGATAGCATTGCAAATGGATTCCGCCGCTCGAATCAGGATCACGAACGGGGCGGTATGTGCACATTAATTGTCCTCCAAACAAGTGGACCGGGCACCGTAATTGCATAAATAAGACGCGACGAATAAGTCGCAGCATCAACAATCGCGGCAAACGACGACGACGACGACGACGGTAGCGGTCGCATTGTCGTTTTAGGTGCTTCAGGTTGAATGTCAGACGGCAACGGCGGGGTGTGGTAACGAGAGAATCTCGTGTCGCCCGCCGCCCGACAGGTCCACGCTCGTGGGGCGTGCGGTACGCGGGGGGTTGGGGGAGGGGCGAAAGTTCGCGCGCGCCCCGTCGCTTTCGCTCGCCGCGCAGACACAGACGACGGTGTTTCTCCGGCGACCGGCACACGCGACTTTCAGTGGACTGCCCGCATTTGGTCTGTATGCCCGCGCGCCGCCACACCACCACAACTCCTGTTGCACTCGCGTTTTCCGCCGTCGGCAGCGTACGAAACACGACCGCTACGGACGAGCCGCACTCGACCGGTGCAAAAGCGTTCTAGTCGGTTTTTTTTTTTTTTTTTTTTTTTTTTTATCATAACTGCGAAGAGGACAGTGGCGCGAAAGGGTATAGAAAAATATTCGACGAAAAAACGAAGCGAAACAATAACGACAACATCAACATCAACACTAAGACGACGACGTCGTCGTTCGCGCGGGACAGTTAGTCCCGTACTGCCGAGCACACACACCGACCAAACGCGCGGATCAGTGGCCCGGGGAAAGGGTAAGGCGAGCTCGAAGCGCAGCAGCCGGTCGCAGTAGGCAGTCCTCGATTGGTTCGTCCGCAGGCCGAGATGATGGTCTCACGCGGCATCACTTTGTTGGGAATGGCCGGTTGGACGTGGAAAATCGTACTGGCACTGGTCGCGTGCAATCACCTGGCACTGATGTGGCCGTTCTTCTTCGCCGTCGGTGAGTACCATCACTTACACGGGTGCGCTGTAACATGTGAACCGTGACATGCTGCTTGTACCACCGTGTCGGTGCACTGCGCTTGGCACGTGTTTCGCACGCGGGCAACGAACGTCAACGGACTGTTTTGCCGCGCGTTCTTAGCCTTACCGCGAGGGACCGGCAGTGAAATTATTTTACGGACGTTATCCCGTCGGAAAAATTTATCACGTACAAATCATTTTTGTCGCTACTGTTATATTTTTATAAGTGCCTACATTTTATTTGAATTCATGATATTTAACTTTTATTTGCGCGGCGGGAAAACGTCGATAAATAACGAAAACGATAATAATTTACAGTTTACCCCGTACTGTTATGATTACATTGACGATTTTCAAATCGGTGATCGTGACTCGACAATTACAATTCCATTATTCCATTTTTTAACGAATCTACTATGAATATTATAACCCAAGTGATTCGATTTCACTTTAAATCATCGAAGAATCACTAAATTTCTGTAATACCTACCACTATAATATTTCGTTATAATTTTCCATCCGTCTACATGTGAAAAATTTGTTGCGATTCAACGTGCATTGATTGTACCGTTTATTTTATATCAATACAATATATCTTAAAAAATAAATCATACATTTTCGTTTAATTATAATTACGATAGATTGTAATATACGTTTTGAAAAAAGTGGCTTTTTCTTTCAAAAAGAAGTATTTTTTTTTATTTCATAGAACTTCTTTTTTTGAAAGACAACTGTGAATGTTTAGTAAAGTTATTTTAAACATTCTTATTTCTTACTTATTGGTATTGCTTTTAATTAAATTTTACAATATTTATAAAGAAAAATAAAGGTTTAAATCTCCCAAATCAAAGTGTAATTTGTAAGTAGCAGTAATGAAATGTTAATGTTTTGTGTTCATAATTACGGAAATTAAAATTCTATTAATTTTAAAATATACCTAGTAATTTTTTATCATACTGCAAAGTATATAATAAAATAATTCAAACTAAAAAAAAATTTTAACTCTAAGAATCTTAACACGAAATTGAAAACATTCAATTGCATGCGAAATAATCAGTTCATTTTTACTGAATCATTTTTGGTATTTTATAACAGTATATTAATGCACTGCTATAGCATACACATAGTATATTTATTTAGAAACAGTAAATATTATTGTTATTAACTTTAAATTTGACAAGTGGAATGTTTTTAATTCATAACAGTCTTAATAGACTAATGTTAAAATATTTTTACTGTCAGAAGTTTAAAAAAATTATTGGGACTTAATCTTATCTTCAAAATTATTTAGATGCGTTTTATGTGTAATTGTATTATTATTGAAGTTCATATGCTTGAAAACCGGATGAAGGTTACAGATACTCGATACTTTATTTTTGAAAATTGTTAGAATTAATTAATTAATTATTAAATTTTCAAGATAATCCATCAATAAATTAACATTTTATGATAAAAGCTAAATAAAACATTTAAAATATATGTCAAAGGCAACTTTTAAGAAATTATACCATATTGGATGAGTGGTTATATTTTTATTTAGGGAAAATTTAAAGATTTTACGACTATTATTTTAATAGATTTCGATTGATGTTGAAAGCCAATATTTCGTAAATTTCGTAATTTGCCGTTTTTGTGGTAATTTTTTATAATATTGTACAAAATTATTGAAAAATTCAAAGAAACTTTTTCTTCTAAAAGTATCAACAAGACAAAATATGCTATCGGAAAATATTCCTTCTTATGATAATCAAACCTTTTGGTTTAAATTGTGTAGACAAATAAAAACATTTAAAAATTTGAATACATCACGATAAAATCATTACATTTTTTGCTTCTCTCAAAATCTAAAATATATAACATTTTTAAATTTATGTTTCAAATTTTTAGCTTATTGATTGTTGAATTTAGTTCATAAATATATTTATAAAATATGTATTTATATTTTTACTTACAATTTTTTGAGGTTTTAAAGCATTAAGTTTTACATACATTTATTTATAATCTAAGTTAGACTGTACTTATACTTGATTCTTAATATTCGGTAAAAAATAAATATGACTTTGAATAATGAAAAAATAAATTTGATTGTGTGAAATAATGTGGTAGTTAGTCGACAGTAGTATCTAATAATAGTGCTTGTCAATAATGAATATCGTTTAAAAGATATTAATGATGTTTGGAACTAAAAGGAGAGCTAACATTGCATTTGTTATTAACTTAAGTTTATAAATGTCATTTCAATAATAATTAAATAATAATTATTTCGATTTCTTTTTTTTTTATATGGTCATTAATCAAAATGTAACATTAAATAATGACAGTACAATCATGCACGATTTCAGATAATACGACAGTTGTGTTCTAATTAAATGCATTTTCATTGGTTTATTATACAATGAATCTATCTGAATTTGTTTATAAAAATTAACATTTAAATGTCAGAATTCAAACACTGGATAAACTGGACACATGTTATATTTTGTAACAAGTTGTATTATTTATATTTAACTTTAACAATGACTTATTTAGTATGGTTAATACGCTTTAATTTCAATGGATCGTTAAGAAGCAATGTAAAATTACATTTGTAGAAAAATAATTACATTTTAAACACGATGTTCCTTTATTACAAAAAAAAAAAAATGTTATAGTAAAAAAAAAAAATTATTAATTAGCTATCAATAAATTAGATTGAGTTAACCTGAAAGTTTAGAATTTATCAGTACATATGTAAAGTGAATGGTTTTTTAAAGTTACATTTTTAATATCATTTTCTGATTATTCTAGGTGACATTGATTTATTTATTTGTACTGAAACTGCATGGTTTGCTGATCATATCTTATACAAATAATCTAGGTATCCTATCACAATATTCATAATATAATAAATAATATTACAGGTTTATTATGTATACATAAATATAAATATATTTATTTAATTACTATATTTTTATATAAATAAATATAAAATCCTATTTTTTTGATCATAAATATAATTTAAAATTATTTATTTAATGATTATGCGTTTTTTTTTTAAATATCAGAATATATTGCGAAGAAGATTTTTGATCAGATTTCAGTTCTTCAAGTTAATTAAATAATTATTTATAACACGTTTAATTCAAGCGGTATTTTACCGCGTGCTGTCGCGCCGAGATAAAGATGAAAACAAAGATGTGTGCACCCTCTCAATTTTCATTTTCAGATTCTGGATTTCATGAATCCATCTAAGTTATTTTTCTATATAAGCTTAAGTTAAAAGTTGATTCTCTTATCATATTAATACGCAATTTGGGTGCAAAAAAATTGTGTGACGGTACACGATGGTAGATAGTCTTTAAAAAGTATCAGATAGGAGTTAACATTTTAACTGGCTGTACGAAAGGTGATATTATTTATAATCCGAGAATTTATTCGATGGTTATCAATAAAGCACAAGGTTGAACATAAAATCTAACATGCATCGACAATCCAGATCCCTGATTTACTCATAGCCAATTATGTATGTTGTATATTTAGCTCGAAAAACAATTTATCTATTTTTACTCTTAATAAAACACTGAGTAATATAGTATACCAAGAAGTATTATAATTTATAAAATTACTGTCAGTACCTATGTAGTATGATGAACGTTTTTTCTAGCCTCTTTTGGTCCGAGATATAACCGGCTCTATTTTTATATATTTTTTATTGGTCTGTAGATAATTCTTTGATTTAAAACCTAGGCATAGTTAAACATGTAAATAAATAATTTTTACTATCAATCTGTTAAAAAAAAGAATTTTCAAAAATTTTAATGGAATAGTTGTGTCACACATAGCGTAATTATAATAAGTTTTAAATTTTCAAATATTGTATGACGATTTCAACAATCGTAGTCAAAGAAAATATATTGATATAAATCTATTTCTACATTACATTGCACCCCAAATGAAACTAGGTACATTTGTTCATACATACCATTTGATTTGATAATGCTTTGCTATTGTTAAATTTTGTTATATATTATTCTGATGCCTGTAAAATATTTATTAACTACTGTAAGTATAAAAACGGATAATCTGTATGTATACGTAATTCATGGTAAAAAAATTATGAAGTATGAAAGATAGCTCACACTAATGAAATTTAATTATTTTTATTAATATGAATTATGATACATTCTTAGATTGTATGTAAAATGTTTATAGATATATTATTGATTGCTATAACTACTCATGCATTTTTATTTTTTCATTGACACTGACATTTGTATTTTTAGTTAAAAATTACAACCTGGTGAAATATGACATTTGCCAAAAAAAAAAAAAAAAAATAACTGTAATGATAAATTATAACTTCATTTTTCCATTCATGCTACCAAGGTGTTAAGTAAACTATGACCTAGTTTATATAGGTACCTATAAACTGATTTTTGGGGATAGTTGTGATAAATAGCAGTCAAAGGATTTTCTTATAAATTTCGTATACATATTTATTATTTTATAATAATATATTTATTTAATATTTATTTATAGAATTTGAACACAAAATAATAACTCATATTGTTTTTGATTTTATTTTTTTATGATACAAATCATATACTAATATACATATACTAATTATATTTTAAACAGTGAATAAAATGAGATAAAGTTTTTGTAAGCTTATGTAACTTTAAATTGAATGATGCCGAGAGTGAAATTATTTTCATCGTGTAAACATAATAAGGAAATTATACTTATATTATTTTAAATCAAAAGTCGATTATGCGTACAATTTTTACGGTAGAAATCATTTAACTAGTATTTAATTTATTCTCATTCATTATAAAATTATAAATTAAGAAAAATATATTTTTTGAGATTTTAATTACTGGACTAAAAATTATAAAATCCCTAACTTTATTAAAAGATAGATTTTATGTACAGTAAAAATTGTAAGAAGTTATCAAATCTTTACAAAATAGGTGAAAAAACATTTAGTAGAATTACATC